CGTAAGAAAACAATTATAGAAAAGGAAATAAATTGGCTTGTAACTCGTCGAGCACCGCCTAGAGACGCATACTAATGCTTCAATTTTTGTCATGTGTTAAAAAACGTTTCTGATATCTCGTGTGATAATTTTCTTTTAAATTCTCCTACTTAAAAAAAATTGTTTAGGTTGCATGTCTATATGCCAATCTGTAAATGTTCTGCGCATTTAACGATACAAAAAACGTATATTTTCAGAGTTGTGTATTAGAAGAAAATATATGCCACTGTCGGTATGGCAGTTTCAAGCTATCAGGGTCTTTTTTTGTCTTTTTTTAATCTTTTTTTTTCTACAATTCGAGAGAAGTAGCAGACGTTTTCACAGATAAATTAGCCGCTTCTCCATTAATTACTGATTGATAGATTGTTCTTTTATATCTTTTAAAGAGCGTCTTTACATATCGCTGATGAAGATGAAATATCTTGTGCTGGTGACGGATCGTGTATTGAAGATAGCAAAGTTGAAAGAGATACTTCGCTAACATGCCGATGAACTTTGATTGAGCCTTCATAAAGGAGTGGTTTGTAATACGGAATATGCTATCTGGAGGCTGAACTGAAGCGTCACATTGTTATGAAAGGGCCGATGAAATTCTATTATGTAATTATGACACAGGATTTTAATTGGACGAACAGATCAACTGGAAACTTATCATTAAAACTAATATCTATTAAGTACACGTACAACTACGAAGAGGTATAGGTTTTATAATAACGTAGACTAAGTGAATATTTATGAGCTTACAGAAGGGATTTTCGTTCGTAATTGAAACATTAAGTACTTGAAAAGTTGATGTGTTTGAAGCGATGCTGCACTTTCTCTAATATTTAACCACCGTTCTTCGAGATTTCGCAGACGTGGTTTAAAAGCTGTTGTATTGAATGTATGGTACTTGTGGTACTGAATGTATGTTAGAATGTGAATGTTGTCATGCGGTTATTGTGACTTGACGGACAATATTTTTAAATTGTATGTAAAACGTTACAAACTCAACTAAACTTGTGAATATGTCCATAACATAATTTACGAAGCATTTTACGCCCAGATTTTGTTGGCGAAGAATTGTAACTTGACATTTGATTTAGTTTATCAATAAATTGTAAAAACTGTGTGTGGCGTTCGGGAGATGAGGTAGAATCTGCGCACATTTTCTTCAGCTTTGAAATCCATTCCCCATCTTTTAGCCCTAAATAGTTGAATGACGAACAAAAGTACCAACAAAGTAAGGTAACCAACATTTGAAAAAAGATTTTTCCTTCCCGATTTATAGAAAACTTAACATACAATGTAGGCTTTCACGGCCGGTTTCCACATCAAAATCAGTTGTTTCCGGGCTTGAAGGCCGTGGTCCAATGGAGACTTGTCACAGTTCTTTTATCCTAGTATTAAAACGACGCTTTCGTACGAGAGAAACGTAATTTCCCAAAAAACTTCATCACACCGAATTTACGACGATCGCACTGAAAGAGCTCTGTTACGAGACAGAATTCACGAAACACGCCGGAATTTATCCTTTATTGACAAGGAAAAATGCTCCAAATTCACCTACCAAGTTAGCCAATTCTCTTTCGACATTACGATGGGGGTATCTTGACAGATTAAACCCACAACAGCAGTTGATGTGATCACAGACGCGTTACTACCCGCACGCCATAAGAAGAAAATATAGTAAATGTCATGACATTACGGCGCAATGTGGACCTAGAATGAGAGTAGTCGCGACGCGTCGTTGTTAACCTTTCTAGACCACAACTACCACAGGAGAAAACGTGGTTTTAGCCACAAAGGAGGAAACTTCGCCATTACCCCCGCTAAATTATACCTGTGAGATATCTATTGCCAGTATCGATTACCAGTGGATTCGCCAATTACAACCGGACGTAGCGGAAAAAAGAATTGTGAACAGTGAACATCGCGAGAATACTACAACACGCTAATACCACCCTGTTCAATATTACAAACCAAAGAGAAAATCTACCCTTGAAGAACTTAAATGGAATAGGATATCATTCATATTTCTGAGACAAAGTAATGCGACTTCATATAATCTCTGAAGTATTACCAACAAAATCAGGTAACATTATTGAATACCGGAGAACTACATCTCTTCCCAAAGATCCGACGGGCTTCTGATTTACGCAAAGTCCAAGACCTAATCAAGAAATCCTCATACCATCTGAGGACGAGAAATTTCTTAAGATTTCTGAGCGCTTTACCTCCGAACTATATGCTTACCTATAAGATCCACAAACCGGACATTCCCGACTACGGGCCGAATTGTGAGGCTATTAATTCGCCTACGTACACAGTTGGACCAAAAAGCCTCTCAACTACACTAACCCCACATTGGTAACACGAAAGACACATTAATGGATCCTCTCATTTCATTGAAAAATAAGAGTCTTCGCCTTAAAAACCCGACGATCTTTGGTGGATTTAATGTTTCACATCGCTGTTACAATCGGTCCAGTACAGGAGACTTTAAATTTCTTAGCTGAATTTTCCCTGCGAGTATATCGTCTACTGTTTAAACACACATGACTAACAACTTATTTCCAATCGAACGGTAACTGTTTATGAGCAAACGATCGGGCTAGCAGGCAAGTCCCATTAGTCAATTGTGGCCAACCTTTACAGGCGAGCATTCGCAAAGATCTGCATAAACAGTTCTGTATGAAACCACACACGTTCGATACGTTTATATACTTTCGTCTTTGGATTCACGGGTGAACACTTGTGATCAGAATTTTCGGGATCATCTCAATAATATCCACCCAAGGATTCAAATTAACCATGGAGATGGAAAAGTAAACAATCGCGTTCTTAAGATGTTTTGGTCACAGGAATCCAGATGATCCTTGACATAAGTATACGGAAAACCTACCACCACGATCGTTATTTACCAAAAAACTCAAAGTCATCCCAGACAAAAAACGCTATGAATCAAAACACTTTACAAGTCCGCTGCTAAACGCATTTGGAACCCGATCACCTACCCGAAGCAACTACAACACCTCGAAAGGCCTTACAACCAACGGACAAAGCCACGAAGTAAGAGACTCTTCACCCGAAGAGGAAGACAACGAAAACTACAAAACCACACAGATGTACTCCACTTCGGTACGCTTCCTGCCCTATGTGAAAAAGCGTAACGACACCGCATAGAAAAACGCTAGCAAAGACACAGATTTAAAACTGTATTTAAACCCACCCAACAACTCACGAAACATTTTACGAATTCTAGGCCAAAGACCCCCAGGATCGTCGGGTATGTCTTAGTGATATACAGAATTCCCTTCTTCTTGTGGGTCCGTATACATAGGTACTACTAGAAGAAGTTTATGTTAACTAGGATAAAATAACACAAAAGAACTGCCGTCGTAGGACAATACGACATATCAGCAGTCGCCCGATCACGCAGCTGCGGACCGCGGACACGACATGCGCTTCGAGAGCACGGATATTCTCTCCACCACCACACACTACTATCAAGAGACTCCAAATGAAGCCATCAGATTTACAAACATAAGAACCAATTAACAGAACGAAGGAGAAAATTAACATACACGGTACCGTCCGACTGTGCGTACGACCAAAAAACTCTGGGCCAGTAAACCAGTACCCTGACCGGGCCCAATCAGCGCACCGAGAACAGCGGCGCGACCAAATCAGACCGAGTGCCGCGAACCCGCCTTTTCACTATGAATACAGCCCCAGAGCCGCGGGAGCGTCAGTCCAACGCGACGCCCTTGCCAACAAGACAACTTCGCCCCCGCCAGCAACGTCCACCTGATGATGCCTGCCACAGTTGCAGGCAAGAAACTTATGGACAAGTCTCCATTGGACCACGGCCTTCAAGCCCGAGAACAATGATTTTCGTATAGAAAACTTGTTGATCGCTTATCGAAACACGGAATTCAAGTAATGAGATTTACAAGAAAATGAAACCATACCCTCGCTCTGCTCTGCCCACAACACTACTCAGCTTGTAGACAGAATTGCAAACTTTCAAATGTCACGACTAGGACGGGAGGAGGAACTGTCATTCAATCAGGAGCTTTCGTTACACCACAATTTTTGGTACTGAGCTCCCGATTGAAGTCCGATGTTGCCTTCCGCTCTGACTTTGCTATCGATCGATGAGACGTTATGTACTTTTTGATTGTTACCGTTATTTATCTTTGAGATGATACGTGTGATTCTGATTACGTTTATTTGATTTGATATACGTTTATTTGATTTGATTACGTGATTGATTGATTACGTTATTTACTTGATCGATTTGATGATACGTTTGATTTGATTTGATTACGTTTGATTGGTTTAGTATTTGATTGATTACGTTTGATTTGATTTGATTACGTTTGGATTGATATTGATTACGTTTGATCGTTGATTTGATTCGTTTGATTTGATTGAGTTAGCGTTTGATTTGATTTGATCTACGTTATGTTACGTATTATTTGACTGATACGTTTGATTTGATTTATTCGTTGGATTTGCATTTGATTACTTTGAATATTTGATTTGATTACGTTTGATTAGATTGATTAACGCTTGATACTTTGATTTGATTACGTTTGATTTACTTGATTTGATTACGTTTTTGATTTGATTTGATATACGTTTATTTGATTTGATTGAGCTGTGCTTGATTATTTGATCGTTTGATTAGTTTGATTTGATTGATTACGTTATTGTTGATATTATGCTTTGATTATTGAATTTGATTGAGCTTTGTTACTTTATTTGATTGATTGACGTGTTATTTATTTGATTTGAGTTTGATGTTGATTGATTTGATTGATTGATTCGTTTGATTTGATTTGATTTAGATTACGTATTGATATTATTTGATTTGATTTGATTTGATTGCGTTTGATTTGATTTGATTTGATTTGATTGCGTTTGATTTTGCTCGGAGCGCTAAAAGAGGTGTGTGCGCGTGTGCGTGTGCGCAGCGGCCGCTGACGCGCTACCTGCCGATCCGCGGCGCCGGGCTGGACCTGCGCGCGCACGTGGAGTCGGCCGGCCACCAGGTGGAGCTGTGCCCGCACGTGGCGCTGGACGCGGCGTCGTGCCGGGGCGCGCTGCACAAGCTGGGCTCGCGCTTCCACCACTGGAACAAGCGCTGGTTCGTCTTCGACCGCTCCAAGCGCACGCTCATGTACTTCGCCGACCGCGCCGAGAAGAAGCCCCGCGGCGGCGCCTTCTTCCAGGTGGGCCCTTCAGATCACTGCTTCTCAGAACACAACAGCCAGCAGTACACGCACTTAAAAGACCCTGGATAAAGTTAAAAAATCTTCATAAATATTCTAGGAATAAGCTGTTAAAAATGTACCCGACAACAAAACAAGTTAAAAGCTTTAAAATGTTTGGTTGTGTTAGTATGTATTATATGACTGAAACATGACCCCAAAAGTATTCTAGTGAAAATATACATTTTGAAAACAATCTTAGTTTCGTCGTGTATTTGTTTTGTTAAACACAAATATTAAATGAAATAATTTCGTTAACTGTACATTAAATGCCGACTTTTGGTTCATCATGTCCCAATAATTTGAGGATGACAGGCAAGGTTCAATATACTCTACCTCGCAAGTTTTTGGTGAATTACTGGTACCTAGCCATTCATTTTTAGTAAATTAGTCTTTAAAATAGTATTGCCTTTAATTGGGAATAAAAAAAATAATAGTATATAATTGAAGTTAACTCATCTATTTGTTAGACTGTACCAAAAAATGTAGAATTTTATTTTACACCAAGCAAGCTTCCAACAAGCATTGACAAAGCATAAATGGTCGCCTCAACTCCAGTGATGTTGGGCACTTTTGCATCCCATGAAAACTTTTAGAATTAAATAAAATACATTTCTCACCTCTAGATTGATAATGAAAGGCGTCCGTTGAATTTAAAAATTAGAGTACCCCCAATTCCAAAGGAGCATTTGAATTTATACTTTGAAACCGTTTCTATTTTTTCTGTTGTTCACAATTTTTATTTTTTAAATTCTATATACGACTCCTACATAATTCATTATGTAAGCAAATCATTCCATATTATTACTAATTGTTCCTGTATTTATTACAAAAAATTCTTAGATATGCAGAAATGAGCAGAAACCTTCGAATATTCTAAAGTAACAAAATTAAATATGCCAGGGAAGCTTTAAATGGGGCTGTTGTGACAATTTCTTTTATCATTTTTCAAGTAACATTTATGACTAAAAATATACATACAAGTCCCGGCTCTAGCCAAAACTCGTCTCAAGAAATTGTTCTGTTGTGAATCTGGGGCATATAACATTAAACAATATCAATCACATTCCGTTGTAACCTCTCCTCCCTTCTCTTTTCTGTGCAAGTTTTAAAGATGTATTCATTGGAAGAAGAATATTCCAATGGAATCCTAGATCCCAGGGACTTAGAGCAATATTTTTCACCAAGATAATTGTCTAAAAAATAGGCAAGTTTTGGTTTGAATGACCTTTTTGGAATAGTTTTCTACAAAATGCAAAAATATTGCAGATAATCTCATCCAAATAAACTGGGAATATTATTTTGCTTCTTCTCTGTGCAAAATTAGGCGGTCTCCAGTAATGTATAATCTTAAAACTTTGAATGCAATTAGCACTATTGCTTTTGGTTATATATATATTTTTTTTATTTATCATAACAATCTTTTATGAAGTTGTTTTGATACCCTTGAGAAATATCATTTTAATTATTTAAATTAATTTAATATAGTATATTAATTAATTTAACAGTAACATTGTTCAAACACACTAGTCTGTGTATAGATATTATTTAAAAGTATTTATTTGTATGCAGCAATTAAAGTTTAGATAATCAAAATAAATATTGTCACTAAATAAAAATAAAATTCTTAAAATATAGAACTATGCTAGTGCAACTATAAGTACTTATTGATTTTGTGTTTTGAGAGTGTTTCATTTGATCTTCTTTTGAAATTGTATGTCATTATAATTAAAATAAATTACATGCCGTGTTTCAGTCCATTGAAGAGGTGTACGTTGATCACCTCAACTCGGTGAAGTCTCCCAACCCGCAGCTTACGTTTGTGGTGAAGACGGTTGAACGCACGTATCACCTGATGGCTCCCAGTGCAGAAGCAATGCGCATTTGGGTGGATGTGATCTTCACTGGAGCAGAAGGATATCAAGAATTCGATGCAGGGACATAGGGACACGCCTCACGCCCACAGGGGGCGTTCCGCTCAGACGCGGAACCCTGCGAGGCGGAGGCACTGTTGCCAACTTATACTTGTGTCGAGGCTCCTCCTTTCACCCTGAAATTTGGGGAGGACCGGTATGTGTAACTTGCATCGTGTGATGTGGAAAAAAAAGAGGAGTTTGCATAAAACTTCCACCACAAGCTAAGGAACCACCTCGAATGTACCAAATATTGATGAGGTGCATAGCCATGTAGATGTTATTTATACAAAAAGCTCTGAATTATCAGTTTGTAGCTGCTACATATAATGCAGGTTATGTTTTCTTCTTACAAGAATGTGATGTGATATGGTAGATTTATATGGTCTAATATACCAGTCCAAAGGCACTTATTTGTCGTGTCTGGACTCTGTAAGACTGAATCTCGTCCCTCAGCCTGCCTTCAGTGTAGGGTGCCAACAGCTGTGAACACTAATTTACAAGGCCAGCAATTCACTTCAAGCACGTCATTTTGGAGTTTCATTGTTTTATTCAGAAATTGGGAAAGATATGTGTAGGTGATGTCTTTTTAGAAAGCAAGGGTCTTTCAGCAACAACGAATATATTTAATCATGCCTTCATTTGGTCTAATGACTTTTGACTACACTTTTGTGGCAGTGGCATCTGGATTTATTGGTTGAATGCGGTACCTTACACTGAGCATAAATTTCATAAATATCGCATCTGTCCATAATGCAGAATTGGTAACACAGACCCCTCCAATGTGTATTACATCTGTCCATTTAATCTCAATGTTTTTGTGATGTTTTTAAGGCTTCTAATTCAAACTCTGCTTAAATGCAGCTGTTTTGCAATTTGTGTGTTCATGTTTCAACATCCTTCATCACAGGGTACATTTGCACAGTGCCTTGTTGTTGTTGTTAAGAGAAGGAGCAAACGATGTATGGCCTTGCAGTTTATTTAGCTGTTGTCTGGGTTGCCAAATATGGTCAGCATTGGAGGTTTGTTACAGGCAGGTGTGTGAGGATTTTATTGTTCACAGCATTTTGCTGTGTTGATGTATGGAAATTGTGAAAGTGCCTTTCATATATGTAATGGAAGCTAAAAATAACATGTAACCACAGTAATTGCTGTTTTATTTCTTACCCTTTACCAGTTTTTAAATAAGTATACAATTAGAATAATTACAATCTATTTATGTGTTGTTATTCATGGTCAATTTTCCATTCATGTGCTCTGAATAGACTAAAACATGAGTCAAGGATTCTTAACCATTTTTGTCTCCCACTTTCCCTGAAAATTAATATACCATTCACTCTTTATCCCTTTAAAATGTAGGTGATGCTTTAAAATTCATGAAATTCTATCTTTTAGGGAAAATTAATTGGCACAGTCTTGGCTGTTTTGCAATTAAATAATCATGATTTTTTCATGTAGTTAGTGTTTTTTGCCCTTTGGTATATTTTCATGAATGGTCATTAGTGTTAAAAATTCATAATCTGATACAGAAATTTATTTCAATGAATGAAGGAGATTTCAATGCATGAAGAATTATGAAGGACAATAAGTTTTCATTTTAATGAATATATATTAATTTTTATTCTTCTTAAATATTGTGCAAATGTCTGTGATATATATTTTTTTTATTGGGATAAAACTTGCTTTACTTGATCTAAATTGACTTGAGAACCATTACTCAAAAGAAGAAAAGAGAACGCTATGAAGGAGAGTCGCACTGCCCCACTGAATGCTTTGCATCTCTCCTTGGGAGGTAATGGGGGTTAAAAATTCCTGACCCATATGCTATCTCACACTTTTTCTTGATAGGGCAGGGAAGATTTGGCCCATAACAAAGCTCATGCAAACCTACTCCCGGATATTTTGTAATTTTCACTGTTGTAGCTAACTGCGTAAGTACATGCAAAGTTTCTTGTCCTGTGAACTTTATTCCAAGAGTGAATTATAAAACCAAGAGTAAAACCAAAAATGGTTGTTTAGAAAAAACAATCTTAAAGTTCGCAATGCAGAGTATAAGGGGAACAATAAAATGTGTGATCGCTTGGACGATTTGCTCTTATGATTCTGAAATCTGCAATTACAAATGAACCAAGATAATGGTCACCTATCCTCCCTCTGTACACCCACATACACATGCTCTCAGAAAGAAAAGGCCAGTATCAAGAAACACTGTGACTAGTACATTAATTTCCTATTAATTGTAATTATTAAAGAATACATTGTTTATTGAATTGAATTAATGCCTTATTTTAGGAGGCGAGCCTGGAAAACTATCTTATAATACTGCTTCAAATTTTATATTTGTTGATTGTATTATTTTTCTACAATATTTCTCTTTAAAAAGTATGAATTTCATTTAAGTTGTATTGAAGAAAGTGAAACTATAAATTTTTTAAAAATTTGATTTGTTAAATAGCACTGAATGTTCCCTCAGCATGTCTTGCAAATCTGTTTTATGTATCATTAAATAATATAAAATGTAAATTAAAATTTTGTAACATGTGATATTCATGTCATGTCCTCTATTCATGTCATAAAATGATATTTCCGTAATATGTGATTTTTAACGCCCAAATTGACTTACAAAAATTGTTGGCTCAAGGAGGATTCATAATGCTATTGATCTTGGGTATAAATAATAGTTACTAAAGAAACACGTTTGATATGGATACCTTAATGAAACTAGTAATATGTCATAATTTTCAACATGACATTAAAATAAATGTGAATCATTCACACTTTTATCTATGAGGGTTCCAATAGTTATTTTTCAAGGATGTTTAAAAATGCTTATAATGGCTTCTAATTTCTTTCATTACAACTGCATTATATCCTCATGATTTCATCTAAACTTAGTGCTATCTTTATGAATGATTGAATGACAGAAGTCCACCGATGGTCTGTGAGGTCTTACAGAATTCTGATTTAGCATTGTAATGTCACTGTGCAATAAAGTATTTTTGTGCCGTGACAACACTGCCTTTCTTTTGTTATTATATGTTATTGTGACTTTATTAGGCAACCACTGCTATAATAAATCCACAAGAGCACAAGTGCTATAAGGAAGTTTCTTATAATTATAGGAGTGTTCTAAATATTATAAAATCATCATAGATAAAATATATTTAGTGAACTCTCATCTATGTCGAACATTGGTTCATTGGTCCAATAGTGTCCAATTATGAGAAGTGGAGGATACAGGGGGACATTGTCCTGAATAATCATCCATTTCAAATCTACATTGTATGTTATTGGGGAGTGCAGATGGTCCTATTTATGTGGCTTAATTTGCTGAGGAGATTCCATGGCTACCTCACACCTAATCAAATAATTTGGTTGCTTTTTGGGTTACTCCAGCCCTGTAGGTTCAGTGAGGTATGATAAGGGAGAAATAAGATAACATATTGAGCTTTAAATAATTGAATGAAAGGCATGGAAAATGTGTTGCCTGTGTAAATGCACTGCTAACCATTTGCCCTCCTTAAATTCCATATGGATGGACTGTGTTTTATGAGTTAGTAGCTGCAGCAAAAATAGTGTATGAGTTGGAGTGATAAAGGGCTGATGCCTGAAATACTGCATGCAAGTAGTTCAATAGTTTCAGTGAACTGTGACGTACTGAAACCAACCAATAGAAGTTATTTGTAAGTAGCATTGATACTACATTCATATTTTCTTCAAAAAAAATCTTTCAACATACACCCTAGTGTTCTGTTCTCCATAACAAATTCCTCAGTTTAGTGAGTAAATCTGTGAAGTAAGTGTTAGTGCCGGAGCTAGACAGTTCTTCGCCTGGGCCAACGCTAAGGCGTTGCCCTGCTAAGGCCCTCCCCCTGAAAAAAATTCGTATAAAGAAACTGTTGAGTTATTTTATTCCAACAAATAACAAAAATTACAATGTTAAAGCTAGAAAAACTTTTTGTAAATATGTTTTAAATAATAGTATGGAACATTTTTACTGATCAAATAATACAACTTCTACGATGATGATAAAATGCTAAATAATTCTGTTTTAGTTAGTGTTTAATGAAATAACATGTTAAGCACATGAAATTATAATATGTATTTCAGTGGAACCTATTTGAATGCTAGCATCATATGATTTATTTCAGAGAGTCCTACCTTATATGACTATAATGAAATATTTAAGGTAAAAATTAATTGAAAATTTTATGAAATGTTAGACTACTGTAGGGCAAATTACAAAATTGTGATAACAATTTTCTCGAGTTCTAATTTATTTTTCAATTTTTAACTATTTTCTTCCCATCGGGCCCCTTGACTGGAGGAGTGACAGGCGATCGTTCGGTCTGTCCTCGCCTAGCACCGGCACTAAGTGAGGGGAAATCAACAAACACTGCTGTCAACTTCTCATCATTCTCTTCCTTCTGCCCTGATAGGTTTTTGATTGATGCCTTTTTGTTGAAAGCATGAAGTGATGAACAAGCTTATTTCTTGCTCTGTAATGAAACTGTAGATTTTGACTTCATTTGAATTATGTACTTCTGGACGATTTTCTTTCAATATAATGTATGTCGTGCATTTGAATTATCTGTGAAGATGATACAAATTCAAATTTAGAAATGTAATTTTATAGTTCAATTGATGTGATTTCCAGTTTGACTGATAATATTGTTTTAGCTCAAAACTATTTATTAATTATAATAATGACATTTGTATAACATAATATTACTATTAAATGATATTTGCTAAAATTGTTTTCTGTGAATAACTTCCAAAAGCTGTTTTGTGTGTCTACTTGATTTAAGATTGGCTTTAAAATCAAATAAAAAGGTCTACTGAAATTATAATAAATCTGGGAACAGTTAACTCCATTTTGATCAGATTTCTTATTATATTAAAATGTTTGGGATTATGTATTTAATTTGCAAACAGATTTATCTTTATATAGCTTTCATAAGGTATGATTTTCATTTCTTCTGTAATGGACTACATAAAAAGGCTTAGAGTGCAGTCTGCCATCTCAGTGACACCATATCAAAGGTGTTAGTATTTCAGTATTATTAGTTTTATTATTCAGTATAATATTATGGATTTAATAAGGGCCGAAATGTGTTTGACACATCAACCTTTGCCACAAATATTGGCAACATTGTCTTTTATACAGCGTCATCTGGCTGTCAGGAGATTCTCATACCTGGGGAGAGGATTTCTGTGATTTGCATCTTTTTATCCGGTGCCTCAGGGCACAGCTAAGTGAAATTTCTTGATTTGGTTAGAATTGGATGCTATGTAGATTAACAAGGTAGTAGATATTTGACCATGAAGTCTATGACTGCATAAAAATACTTTCTCCTACCAGTTACAACTTATTTTAAGCACTAATTTTAACACCAATTCTTACTTTTGAGAGCAATAAATTTTATGTAAATAATAGATCCTCAATGATTCGTAATCTGTTGTGAGGATTGTGTTTAAACATTGCATAGAATATCTACAACCACTTTTTCTAAATAATCACAGATGCCTTAAATTAAGATAGATATGTTTATTCAATCTACATGCTTTATAGGATTTGGAGAATTTTTTATTTTAAGAAGTTATTGGTTGTTGTTTTTTTCATTTTTATAACAAAATTGTTCTTGAAAATGTGTCATTGTGAAAATGACCTCCAAGTTTGAGGTGACATTTCTCCTTTATCTGACAATCACTTGTGAATCTTAGGTAAAAGTGGAGTAATGTTAGCATACATGTATTACTATTTCATAGAAAAGTAAATACGCATATTAAATTATTTAATTACATCATGCTAATACATTAAACAGATATTAATATCTATAAGAGTTCTTTAGTCAAGCATATAATCAGTTCTATCACATTCTCCACATTTGGGAAGTAATGGTTTATCTTGTAAATGTTGCACATAGAATTAGACATAAATGCAGGAAAAGTTACTTTGTTGCAAAATATTCCTTTTAAAGTTGTAATTCATGAAGGCTAAATTCTGTGAAATAGGTCTGTAGTTGTCATTTCCTTAACCTGGGGTTTGTTCACACACTCTTGTTCATGTTGTGAATTCTGTTATTCTTATGTTATTGGAGTGTTCGAAACATGATTGTAGCCAGATACAAGACAATTTGTGGGGATTGAAAGAGAAAATGGGTATATTGAAATATTGGAAAATTATTTAAATTGCAATACAGAACAAACATCAAATACATTTGTTTTGAAGATGAAATTATTGTAGAGAGATTAGCTTACTTGATTTTTTTTGTAGCTATTGTACACTCGGTCATTATCAAATAGGATGACAATAATTCTTTGAATACTCTTGTGTTTTGTTATTTGAGCAGGTTCTATTAAACTATCATGAATCCCATGCATGAAAAGTATATAAAAAACATGAAGACCTTTTGACTGTAACTGTGTGCATAGTAAAGGGACAGTCAGTAAATAGTTTTTACGAACCATCTTTGACTATTGAGGACTCAAATGTAGTAATAATATTCTTTGATTCAAGAACATGTTCTTCTAATGTTGCTGACTTTTTGTGCAGTTATTGACTAAAACATATATTTTCAAATAATCTGTAATCCATAAAGATTTTGTGATTGGATAACATGCTAACATAAAAATAGTATTGTGTTGAAAAGTTAATAAAGAATGAACAATAAATAAATTCGTAGCAAGCAAAAGCTAAATGGTAACTTTATTTTGCACACTTCTCCAAAGCAGTCTCATTACATACTTATTTCCTCACACTGGCACATTATGACTAGAATTCATTGATACTTCATCAACAGAAAATTATATCTATAAATAATTAAAATGTTATTTTGATTTCAGATGGTAACCTACCATAGCATTCTCTTCACAAAACATAATTTGCAAACACTATTTACATCAATAACTACACTCATTGTTTCATACATTTTGATGTTTTACATTTATTTTTTATTTACATTTTTCTCAATTATCTACATTCAGATAAGACTCAATTATCCAAGAATTTTCAGATGTAGAAAAACTTGTTTATACAGAAGGATTATTAAGAAAAAAGTCATCATGGCATAAATTCCTCAGTACGATCAATAAAATAAAAAAACCAAATCACTTCAGATCAAGACCACACTTAATTAAACATGTTCATTAAATTTTAAGAAGAAGCAATATTAATAATGCATATTTCATGATATAAGTTATGGAAATATTCACTTTAAGGATTTCAAAAAAGAAATTTCCTTTTATTATGAAAAGGGGTTCCCATATCTGATTCAAAAAATTTACTAGGGGGCAGGGGAAAATGAGAAATAAATGTCTCAAATTTTTTTTTTGTATTTCTTGTTTTGTGTTAATGTGTTTTGCTTAGAATAAACTCTTAATAAAAGTTGAGAAAAGCGAGTGGTGGAATCAAATATTTGTCCAGAGGGATGTTTATGAGTCTCATAGGTTTTACAAGAGGATAAGATATAACTAGATTCTGCAAATAAATTTTTTCATGGGTCCCTGTATGAATCATTGGGCTTTACAATCTGTTGTTGTTTCATTTCTTTACAGCTGAGCTTGCTCTCTACAGGGGAACAAAACAATTTTTCGAAGAACTCAGAACTTTAGATAATTGAGAAAACTGTATTTAGTTTTTCTTTCTTAACCTAAATGACTTCTATTATTTCAATATATTTAGTAACACTAAATTGTGTTTTAAATTAAGTACTTGGGCATAAAAGACGATAACCTTCAATGTTGTGGCTTCTGTGCTATTGTAATTTTTCGATCCTGCATCAGTTGTCCATGCTCTTTTATACTCAATAGCTCAATTTAGAGCTCATTGATGCTCATCAATTTTATGAAGCCCACTTGAACGTCTGAAACTAACACGGTCACCTCATAACTCGTAAGCATTTCTACCTGGGATATCACCTCACAATTTACACCCAAACCCTTCATCTGGTATTCTTATAATTTGGTCTTACTAATATCTAAGCTATTGGTACAGAAACGCAGTTCTGAGAGACTATAGACATCAATCTTGGAATTACATTAATGAATGTGTTATACACAAACACTTTTCTAATGGTAACGTTGTCAAAAATCAACTGACTTAAAGAAAATGTAGATGGTCTCCTATAATACTAATAAACCATACATCAGTCTGCAATTAGCTGTGTATAATTTACTATTTGAAAGATTCATTTGTAGTGTATAATAAACTTATTCAAAAAATATATCTTATAAAGACTTCACGAAAAATATTTGGTATGGTAAATTAATGAAACTATATAAAAATGTATGAACTAATAATAAATAATTATTATTTTACCAACTCATAACTTTGATGCATTGTTGTTCAAGGTACACAGTGACATTTTTTAGGGGAAAATCTTTTTGTGAATTTACTCCTTTTTTCTTGATATTGACAAAAAAATTGTTCAATTTGTCTTTAAAACAACTTGTATATCAATTTGAAATCAAAACTTCTCCACAGATTCTCATGAGCATCAAGTAGTCAGGTATTTTTGCATATGATCAGTTTGTCTTCTACTCTCATTACTAAAGGAATAGTATACATTACTTAGTTTCTAATTCATTTGTTTTCTTTTGATTGTGCAGTCAGTCTTCATGTTCTCGTACTGTGTCTTCAATCCAAGTAACATACTCAGAAAGTCTTGTGTAGAGCCCAGGCAGACGGTAGCGCCCGCAGCCAATTCCTGCAGAAACCACACCTACTACCACAGTGTAGTCTCCTTCTCCAATCATCAAAGGCCCTCCACTATCAGCCTGCGAAAATAAAAATGAAATAAATCACACGGCTTACTGGATAAAAAGGGACAATTGTGTTGTAAGTTATGATGCAAATGTTAATAAAAGATTTGGATCACATTATTATTCATGCTAATAATAATAATAATAATAATATTATTTATTATTATTATCAATTGGACTGATTATTATTATTATTATTATTATTATTATTATTATTGTTGTTGTTTATTAAAATAATTATTATTGATATTTACTATTATTATCACTATTCTTTTCATTGTACATGTAAAGTTTCATTTATTTATTAAAAACTTCACTTTATCAGAACTGTTTGCAAATCTAAATTAAACTAAATTATTTTATTAGTATAATGAATATGTTACATATGCTGATATCAAAATTAAGCATTATATGAATTACCATAAGATCTCAGGTGAAATTACTAAGATATTACTAAAACATAAAGTATTATTGGACTTAGTACTTCAATTTCATTTTGTTAACATTTCTATCAAACTGTTGTACAACATTTTACAAAGCATCGCATGGCTAAGGAATGATAATTGAAGAAATTTATGTGCAATGTTCTTATGACTTACCCAGCAAGAATCTCGACCCCCTTTTTCATACCCAGCACAAATTTGCGAATCCAGAATCTTCATTTTCTTCTCTTGGGATTTATACCAGTCTCGGCACTGTTGATTTTCCACAACTTCTAAAGTTACCTGTAATTAGAATAAGGATTACATCATGTGTGCATCATGATTTTGGTATTTAACTATTATATTTATATTTTACAAAATGCTTGCATTAAATTATTTAAGATATTCCTTAATTGTCGTAAATGTTTTTTCTTCATTCTCTGTTACCAGAATTTGTATGAACTTGTATGTTCTAGTAAAGCATTTGTCAAAAAATATATTCGTGAAGATACTATATTTTTTAGAGAAATAGCATTTCAGTGGATTTTTGTTAAATATTAGAATTTAATTACAGTCTTATCTTAAAAAAGTTCAATTTAACATAGAATACTTCTCATTTTTATTTCTTGAGTATCAAATTGGTACTTCATAAAATCCTAGAGGCAAAAAAATATGAATATTTTTGGAGTATTCTCCCTTAGTGGTCAAGTAATCTTATTTATTTGCTAACTTTATTTTCATCTTCATTGTGGTTCCTTTCGAATTCTTGCACAATCATGCATGTACACTTACATCTACTTTAAACACGACCTTGCTGAATGTTTTTTCCCCTTTGGCTTGGTACCTTGACACAAAAATAGAGGCATCATATTTTGGCACAGTCAATGAGACTGCGAGTTCTGATCTTAGATGGTTGTCCTGCCCTACTTGTACAAGTCATTATGTTCCAAGGATGAGTAGCGCATACAGAATAAGGGCATGGCTTTGTATGCGAAGTATGCACTGTCCTAGTTCTTTTGTTCGACCTTCCCTCTCGTCCCATCACATGTGCAAGTGATGCAGGTTGTAAAGATATCGTTATGCTATGGACATTGCAAGTTAATTCATTTACATAGTCATCTAAAAGAGATATAGTTTCCTTTACATTTTATTTTTCCGTTCCAGTGTAGCTATCTCCTTTTGTAAAGTAGGTTTATTAATTTTTGGCGGAAACAAATCTGGAGTCAATATTACTTATAGTTAATTTATGTAAAGTTTGAAGAAACACAACTTGGTAATCATAATTCTGTGAAAGTTATTTAAATGATGACTTTGGGACATTAACCTACATCTTCCTTTTCTGATTACTTGAGTTCTCATTGAGTAATTTGGGTTTCTGAGGTATTTTAAATTCCATTTGTTGCTAATAAGTGGAAATAACTTTGTTTAATAAAATAAATGACTTTTTCAAATACTATCTTTAGATCACTTTATTGTTTGCATGTTGTAATAATAATGGTATTCGTGTTGCAAGTAATACAAGAATAATGAATTTTTCTTTGAGAAGGAAATAAATTTTATTAATGCAAGTTTTAATAACAATCAGTGCAAGTTGGCTGAATGATAGAATAACAGTATATAGAAGTTACTATTAAGCAACATTATAAACAAGTTGCATAAATTACTGTTTTGAATAACAGGATAGTAAATTAATAAAATAACCAAAATTAATTTTGAAAACAAATATCAATAACAATTTTGCAGTTAGCAAAATGATTGGTCTTATGAAAAGATGCTGAGAGAATGATTCTGGAGGAGCGGCAGTGAAAACCTAAATCTCCTTACAGGAAATGAGGAGGGGGAAAAAAAGAAGAAAAAAAAATTCAAATAATTGTAAATATTAACGAAAATGTGCATTTTTGTGTCTTCCCACGCTTAAAATTTGGCAGGTGAACTACAAGGGAAAACATTACCACAGTAAGAAGTTTAGATAAATAATAAATTTATATTGACGAGATAAAAATATATGAACATAGCGACTATTGAAGATAAAATTTCAGAGATGCAATGTACTGTATGTAAGTTGTGTGGAATATTAAATGAATAATGTAGTATGGTGCATTTGTCCTCGTTTACTACTTACGTAGTGACTTATTTCGAGAGACTATTTATTCGGGATCGTTTTATAACTGAAAGGGGGTTCGTTTGGTGTTTTTGGTTGCAAAAGAAAATATTACAAAGGGTCTCGTATCTTCGTAGGCATTTAAATTTCCTACAGAGCAACCGCTAAGGCATAAGTGGTTGATAAATGTGTATCGTGACAGCTTCCTACGATGAAGCTGTGTTTCGAGTTCCATTGTAAATCTTTCGTAGGTAAAAGTTTGTGATTAGGGAAGGTATTTTCCGTTTTAAATGACCGATGCGTGTGCCTCACACACGCATATAGAGACAGACAAGAGACACAAAGAGCGCTTTTGGATATTACCCCACCTGCTCAGAGACATGCAGAATCCGCAACTAAATGTGAATGAGAAAGTAAGAGAGGGAGAGAGAAAAGGACATGAAGGGCAGAAGAACGTCTAGCGGGTTCCACTAGTAAAATATAAAACAGCGCGTACTTCTCACTCTCGTATTTTCAATCAAAATTACGCGAAAATACTCAAATTATCGAAAAATTGTACATGACCTCATTTCAAAATCTATCTTTAAGAAACATATTTCTGACTGAACAAATTCTGAACTTTTACAATTTTCGAAAAATTAGGGTATTTAACGAATATGAGACCTGCCCCATTCTCTTAAACGTCCTCCAGACCATGAAACAACAAAATTTATTCAAAAACGATGTAGCCTTTTTTTAAATTTGGAAAATATTCCAAGGTCGTCATGTAAAGAACTCCCAATAATTAAAATGTCGGTTTCAAATTAAAGGGTTCGCGACACCACCTAGATCGATTGGGGAACATCAATTTTGGAGAAAATTGGCTGAACTGTTTAACCGCTAACCTAGTTCTCAGACGAACAGGCGTTTCGCCGTAATTTGATTTTTCGGTGCGAAGGACCCACAAAACATGGATTCTGGCTTCACCACGAGTTAGAGGAGTTGCTTTCTTGCTTGTAAATGTAGCGTCTGTATTTATCCACTTTTTGGTTGCCAGGGCCCTGGCATAAGAGCTTTTGGCGAACCTCACCTTCTGCAGCACGTCCGCGCGCTTCGCCTTGTCGGTGTCCTCGTGCAGCCAGCCCCAGCCCGCGGCGGTGGCCTGCAAATCACCCACAATTCAACCTCGTAGAACAGAATCAAACACGAAGTGAAGTTCATTAGGTTACGCATTCAGATTTCTTCCAAATTCTGTCAGCCTTCATGCACATCGTTGCGTGTATTTTGCAAATGTGCATTCCCGCATGAGATATGGCATAATATTCCACGGAAGCTCAGCCTGTAGTACCCAGACCTTTAGATTTCGAAAGAAAATTATTCAAACAACGGCTATCCATGTGAACCCTGCCAGCATCTCTTCATTGAGCTTGAAACCTTGCCATTGCCATGCCTATTTATTTACGAACGTGTCATTTGTGTCAAAACTGACTTGCTTAACGGTGAGAACGGTGAGAATTTTTCAAGCAATACTGATGTTTATAATTACAACACATGTCGTATAAATCACGTACATCAAGTATCTGTATCAACAGATCACTACCAGAAATCCACATACAATACATGTACGTTACTTTACTACGCACTGCCAGATGACATCAAACAATTGGAGTCGGTACAGTTAAAAGTAAAATCTTTTCTGCGGCAAATTTTTTATACAATAAGAGACTATACGGAACATCAAAATTAAAAATAATAATATTTATTCCAAGAGAACAATGATATAAAATGCCTTAATTTACACTTGTATTATATAATTTAAAAAAGTCTTAATATGCCGGTGCTTCAGCTTTCGGGTCAATAGCGGGTTGGTCCGGGTCCGGATAGGTCCGAGTTAATAGCTTATTAAAAATTGCAGAATCTGAATAGAAATTACATTTTCAGGAAAATAACATTATGACAAAAAGATTGATTGATAGATTATATGACAAAACGATAGTTTGAATACTAGCAAACTGTAACTGCCGACTTCTGACAGCACTGAGCTGTTCTTGAACACGGTGCACATGATGGCCCCGAGTGGATTTTGGCATTGTTCATTCAATGCAATTAGGGTCCTGATGGCAATCGTCAAATATTTCAGATGACCATGGCGCCACAATGTAAAAATAAAATAAAACAACAAAAAGATTGTTATACACCACACATGCACTGGCTACTAAACTGTTAAAACTTCTTTTTAGAATTTCCCTGATGTTGATAATGATGACGCAATTTTTAGGGTTATCGTCAACATTTAGATTTATTCAGTCAAAAAAAAGCAGTAAAAACTGTATCTGATTTGGGGGGGGGAATTATCTGTGCACGTTTTTTTGAGTTATAGAATCCCTTCCCGTCATTTTAACTATAAATAATTGATAGATGAGTAAAAGATAAACATAAATAAATAAAAATAAATTTAAAAATCGCAAGATTAGCAATATTTGAAAATAGTCATTTTCGTTTCTGAGTTATAGAAAACTTATTTGCAAAGGAAACCGAATTGCAAGTATGATTTTTCTGCATCGCTAGCAAAACAGTAACTCGCCATTACCTCTACTCATACCACTAGAAGCAAAAGGAGAGTTCAACAAAACGTGCGCACAGTGACGCTACATTTACGACCAGAAGCAAAACAAGGAGCCATCTCAGCATTTACTCACATTCTTGGTGGATTATAGTGTGAGGCAATTCCGAAGAGATCTGACTTGGTAGAGATTGAAAATCTGAGCGTACGTGAAGAGAGTGGATTTTGGTTTCATCTGTAAACCCGTTTAAGATGGGGAATATTCTGAGATCTTCCCATTTCACCCCCAAATGTTGGGCAATTACGAAGACTGTGAGAAACAAGGGGAGGAACAAGGTGTGTTGCACACGCAACATGAATTTACCATAAATTGCTTATTTTGATCTAATAAACTTCTCGGAGGGTGTGTATGTCTTATTAATATTTCTCTGCTCTACATTATTGCCTGTCAATATCGGTTAAACTGATTTTAGCTGATTTATCCCTTACAAGATGGATTTTTAGTTGAAAATCTTTCATTATTCGGGAGAATCTGAGCAAATATCTATAACAGAGAAGATTGAAGTTCATTTCCAACTTTCTTCTCCGCTGTTAGCGCTTTCCCCCCTTCTTACCCTTCCTTGCCCTTTTCTTCTTTCCTCTCTGTCCCTCTCGTCAGCGAGTTTCACTCTTGCTTCACTCTCTCAAATATCTCTTCCACCAGTGCCAGAGTTAGGCAATTTTGGGCCCCGGGCTCTATCTCCCCCGCCCGCCCCCGGAAAATTAAAAAGGTGGGAGTTTTATTAAAAAAGAATTTGAGTTATTTTATTTCAACAAATAAAAAAATACGTTTAACCTAGAAAAAGTTTCGGAAATATATTTTAAATAATAATTTTATGTAAAAGTATTTAGTAATCAAATAATTCAATTTCCACGGTGACCTTAAAACTCTAAAACTTGTGTTTAGTTATTTTTTAATAAAATCACATGTTAAATTCATGAAATACTAATACGAATTTTAGCAGAACTTATTTTAATGTTAGCGGCATTTAATTCATTTCATAGTCTTACCTTCTATGACTATAAATAAATATTTAAGGTAAAAAGTTAATTGAAAGTTCTGTGAAATATCAGACTACTGTTGCGCGACTTATAAAATTACGACAACGATTTTCTCGAGTTCTAATTCGTTTTTGAATTTCTGTTGCTAATTTTCTCTCGCCAGTCTCTTCGTCGGGCCCCGGGCGATCTGCCAAGTCTGGCGCTACTTGCTACACTCTCTCAACACGTGCTCCCAGGTCCCTTCCTCCGCACAGTTCGTCTGGTTCTTCGTGCATCCAACTGCATTACCCAGTCTAAATCTAGCTTGTCCTCCCATTTTCCCTTCCTTATCCATTCAGATATGCTGATGTATTCCAGACTTTATTTCTTTGCACTTCCCTTTCTATCTACAGTTACGAATTTCCTCAAACACCTGCTGCCCTCTCTCCCAATCTCTTTCCCTTCAGATTTTCTTCGCATCCCTGATTCGCTCCCTCCTATCGCATACCCCTTTTCTCTAAAGAAATCTGGTATTATTATTCCCAGACTGACCACTTTTTACCTTCGCTCTTCTTCTTAACCACCCTGAAATCCCCCTCCACCGTACTCATCTACAACCTCATGAAATCTCATCTCTCTATTCCCAGCCTCCCTCATTTCTCCTCTATTTGTCTCCATTCTTGCCATCCTTCCATCCCCAGGTCTCAGCTCCCCACATGAAAACGCTAGTTTCCCATTCTGAAGTGAAGCCTGGCGAGCGGAGAGGAGGCCAGTGAGTGCTGCCGTGGGAGGTGGACGCACCTGGCGGCCCTCGAAGCGCGAGTAGAAGGCGGGCTCGTGGGGCGGCGCGGGCAGGCAGGCGGGCGCCACGGCGCCGGCGCTCCACGCGACGCCCGGTGCCGCCAACTGCAGCAGCGCCACGTCGTGGGAGAAGCGCGCGCACCGGAAGTCGGGGTGCGGCCGCAGCGCCGCCACCGCCACCGACGCCGCCCCCGACGCCGCCCCCGGCCGCAGGTGCAGCGTGCCGGGCGTCACCAGCACGTGGCCCGTGCCCAGCTGCGTCGACCCGCTGCAACGCACCAAGCACTCAATGAGTAAATGAGCGAAGCAAACGAATGACCGCAAGAAGGAAAAAATTATCAATGATCACCAGAGTTGGAAGGCACAGTGTGGATATGAAAGAAAAATCGGTCTCAGTTTTAGCGACATCGCACGGTGAATGAAGGAAGCTGTCTCGTCGTTGTAGACAAATAAGGCGCGCCCACGTACTTAACCAACCCCCTTTATTCTTTAGCTCTTTAGTATATGAAACACAAGAGCTTGGGGGCCACAATTTTCCATGTATTTAATTATCAATTCATAAGAGTATATTTTTCATTTACGCGTTTTCATTATTTCTTACGTATTTTGTAAACATCTTTATTTAATTAATTACTCAATTCGTACATACATACATATTTCCGTCAATCATTCTTTCTTTTGTGCGTTCCTTTCTTTGTCTGTTTATTTATTTCTTCATTTATTAATTAGTACATTCTAATTTACACAACAATTACATACATGACAATAACAGGATAAAATATTTACTGCAAAATGTAAATCAAAATACGTCGAGCAATTAAGAGAATTCCCTCGTTTGCTTTGCATTTCGATGCTATCATGGGAACTCATCGAATATGTTCATTCTTCTGCTGACTCTCTGATTCATCAATTATTTTAACTCGTTCATTCCCTCATTATTGTGTTGTTCGTTTTCGCTCTTCGTTCGTCTTTTATGTTCAACGACGGGGAGTTATGTTCACTCCCACAGTGTGGACATGTGTGGTGGGTTGAACTTGAACTAATTTTGATCGAGAGTTTTTTGATTACAATGACAAAGACGTAAAGGCCGCTCTATACCTGGTTGTTTCACGGAAGTTCTTTGAGAAGCGCTGCGCAATTTCGCTTTCGTTCACAGACGCAACGTTGCTACAATGCTTAATTATTGCAGAGATGGCCTATATGTTTTTCTTAACGCGTGTATGCCTGTCTGGAAGGGTCTGAGTCTGATCTGATGACGACATGCAGAGCACACAAATTCTTGTTGAGTACATGCGCTAAAAATTTGCCCATTTAAGCTCTTGAAGGTTGCGAGATTTATAACACCAACCACATCTGACATCTGTCGAGCCGTTTCATTCTAGAAAATGCGTGTTTGTCATCAGATGCCGCCGATTGCCTGCGGAGGGAGATAACCGGGAACTCAGACTTTTTATGACTGACAAAATAAATAAAAATCACATGACATATATTTTTAGAAGTGAAATTTAAGTCTTTCTTTTCAATTTTATTTATTATTAATTTAGAGAGATGTAATTTTAATTAATAACAATCATTGAAACAGATTTGTATGTAATTGTTTAAACTACTTTAGTAACTGCATGTATGAGAGGGGGAGCAGTTAGCATTTCTTTGTTTCTGGCTCAGGAAGAACGAGATATGCCACTGCCAACAGCACACGGCTGGTGTTCAGCAAGAGCTGTAATATAATTTGAGTCACGCCTCGTAGGAATATGCAATCACTGTTTAAAGGAAGCGTGTGGACCATGCATTTTGGAAAGCGGGTACTTGGAATAAATAGAGGGAGAGAGAGACTAGAAAGAGGGAGGCAGATCGCACAAGAGAGAGAGAGAGAGGACGATAGAATAAGAGAAAGAACGAGGGCGGGGGCGGGGGCGAGGGCGAGGGCGCGGTCTGACCTGCACATGGGCATGGGGCTGCTGTGACACCCAGCGCCGGCGCCAAGCAGGGAGCGCCGCAACACTGGCCTCCTCGTCTGCTTGATGAGACAGCCAGGGAAACTCCCAGGCGCCGCCGCCGAGCGCGCCCATCGCGCGCCGGCCCCGCCCGGCCCCGCCCCCGGCCCCGCCCCCGCCCCGCACGGCACGTCCGCCACTGCCAACACAACAGACACACCGCATTGTCTCGGAGGCTTCGTGCGTAGAGCTGGGATCCACCGGGCAACAATTCTTTGAACAAATTTATTTATTATGTTCTTTCGAATTTATCGACAGTCATAAAATAATAATGGATAATTTCGAAATTCTAGAGGGATCAGTTCGAGTATCTACAAGGAAAATTCGAAAATGTCATTAGGGCTTCTCGTAAAGAACACCCAAAAATTAAAATATTCCTATAAAATTTTAGGGGCAGCGACTTTTAGTACAATTTCGAGTGAAGATCAAAGTTATTTTAAAATAAAAATCATAAAAACTAATAATATCTGGAAAAACTTAGGCGATTTTAAGTATCTGGTACGAAACCGTTATATTTCTTTGTCGTTTTACATACTCAGAATAGTTCAGAACGTTTATGCATGTAGAAGGAGACGATCAGGTTTTGCCAATGGACTTGTGGTAGGAAATCTAAGTTGCACATCACAGAAGCCACACCAGATTGGTATGCAACTCATCCTGAACTGGTGTTTCCACAGGTACTGAAACGATTTTAAAATTTCACGGATTTATT